GGGATTTAAGTCACTCGCGCCACGAGATTTGTTCCTTTCAAAAGAGTTCATGCCGTTTGAACGTTTTGAGCCACACTGCGATGAACTGCTTTCCAAGACTTGAAGCTTTGCCTGTGTTGCTGCCATCTCCGTTTCAAGCTCAAGTTGCTCCTTTTCTCTCCTCAGTTTTTCCTGTTGCGCTTATATTTGATGTTTCCTTTTTTGTGCAGCGATGCGCTCAACAAGCGCTGCCTTATTGGCCTCAGCTTTAATGCGAGCAGATGATGTCGAGGAACTCCGTGATAGCCGGAGTGTGATTTTACAAAGCTTGTTTTTACACTTGAAACATTGGAGTCACTATCTTCAGGGTTTATTCCATCAGCAACACATTGATCATCAGGATCATCTTTAGTTGGCTCAACATGTGGATGACCCGCGTCACAGAGCCAGCTTTTTACCTTTTCAGTGAAACCACAGAACATTGTCATTTTGTCCGTGAAGTATTTACTCTCAGGTTCCCGTCTGCGAAAACATGGCCGACATTCCTTGTATTTTCAGATAAAAATGTCATTTTCCAACATAGTTGGGCATTAAAATGACTTTTGGTAACATTTCTAGTGAGAAATGTGCCCTTTACTTTCACAATCTTCCACCAGTTCATGCTTATGGACTGTATCTTATTAGTTATCGCAGATATTTTTTCGGATCAGGCCAGAAAATTGTAGAACTGTAACGTTTTAATCGTCGCTATGGAGTTGCTACAGACTCTGCGATCCCGGAAATTACGTAACCACAGTCATGACGAGCCGGGCCCGATTGCGCATGCATGGGCGGATTTGACGCTTAATAAATACCGCCGCACCTGGACTGTCCGGTCCATTTAAGACAAAGCAATGTGATGAGCATGGGCCACTTGGAAGACGACGATGTCTTATTCCTTGCGGATGCACTTTTGGAAGAGTTTCAGTTAAGAAGTTTCTTCTGGGATTTTTTTATATTGTAATGTCTGTTTACAGTACGAATACCGAGAGAGCGCAAACGTGGAGATTCCGTCAATACAGCGAATTGAATGCTATTCATTTACTGATGTTTTATTTGTTATGAGCTAAGCGACTGGACGCCTAGCTCATCATTGAGGGACGCTACAATATAAACAAATAATGCAATGGTACAAGAAAACTTACAAGAACCACAAATAGCTTTACAAGGTACTGTGTAGGGCCTGCGGGGGGGGAAGGGGCCTCTGTAGGGTCTTCCCTATACACATACATTCTAGGTTATGAGAACTTCCCTATTTTTGGAGTGTATAATGAAGCTTGATTTCGTTTTCTAAAATTAAGGATGGTTTATGATTTAACTTACATGAATGAATGATATAGATTAACAATTTGGTTGAATTAGTAGTATGCAATATGACAATTATGTTTCGTAACAAGATGTATATTGTATGAAATGTTATGTTATGTTACATTCATTTCTAATGTACCAAAATAAATTCTTCTCGTTTAATTGCAGTGGGAAGATGTGGCCCTTGCAGTGGGTGGAAAAACAATACACCAGAAGCTGACATGCATACACACAACACGCACACACACAACACACACAACACACACACACAAATGTACCAGAAAATGTTGAGTGTTATGTGTT